TTCATGATTCTCTGCGTCAAAACTAGCTTGTTGCCGTGATCTATAAGGTCGCCGGTTCTCCTTAGCGAGTACGTTATCGACATAATCTTGCCAGCAACGAGCGTGCATCACGTGACCACATGTGCTCGTATGCGGTGACACGCCCAATTTCGCTGACAGGTATAACGGATCGGGCTCTTGAAAGTCGTCACGACATTGGCACAACACGGTGGATTGCTGAACAAACGCAGCCAACACCATTGCCGAACCGGTTTCCGTTACTGTCTGATCCTCTTGGCATAGAATGCAAGTGTACATTTTCTGTTCACACTGCCTACTAGTCTGATTAAGACCGACGGCAATACCTTCCTGAGCAGGATTACCTTCCTGAGAAGAGGCCTCCGTTAAATCCATAGCCGAACCACAACGAGCGCCTGTTATTTTGACGTCCACACTTGCTACATCAAACAAAGTAGCATTCTTCTTCATGAAATGCTTCTGCATTGCTGCCATTTGTGCCATGACCTTGGCACGTTTCTGAGCTGCCATTTTTGTTCGCCATTCCTTATCCGTTTTCTTGTTGGTGTTAACATCATCGCCTGCTTGCTGTTGCTGCTGCTCGAATTGAAGAGGCGCCGGACTGGTTTCTTTCCCAGACAAACTGGCAACCTGACGATACTTGGCTAAAACCCATGTGAGTAGATCCTTGTGAGCTTCCATGCGCGGACTACTGGTCAGATTTTCCAGCAATTTGTAGATCTTCCATTTCGCTGCTCGCTCGGGAAACGCAAGGAAAGGATAGTAGCCGGATTCTTGTTCCTGTAAAGCATAGCCGATCAAATACAATACCTTGTGCACCTGTGGCTCGGAGAAACTCCTAGCTATGAAATTAAGTGCGCGTTCCAGAACAGTCTGCATGATGTGAAGCATAACGTCGCACTGCAACAGATTTGCTACCAGACTGAACGATTCCGTTAGTCTAGGCAGCTTCGGTGGTGGACAACATTCCAGCTCTCCTTGAGCTTTCCGCCGCTTCCGTTGGACTTCCTCGGACTTGCTATGCTCTTCTTTCGTATAATGATAAAAGAACACATTGTATTCTGAATACAAATGCGGATTGAGTTCGTACACACCCTTTGCCGACGTATGTACTGGTTTCTTGAACGTCGCTACTTCGCGTATTATTCTTTCCAATTCGATCTGGACATTGTGCATAACGTCCTCCGGTAACGTCTTACTCAGTTCAGAGTGCGAAAGCGGTTTTATACACAATTGCTGTATGATTTCCTTCTTGAGACGATCATCTGTGGTCACCTGACCAACTCCGGGAACGTATCTTTCGCCAATGATCGTGATGAGCAAGCCCAAAAACTCCTCCACTAGATTGATTGTCTGCCGCAGCCTATCTTCCTCTGGATTTTTTAAGGCATTTACCTCGAAGTCTGGTTGTACCCAGTTAAGAAGATTAAACCTGTTTAGGACATGAATCAAGAATTCGTTGCTTTCTATTAGCGACGCGCCAACCTGCAATAAAACGATATCTCGATCCAACATCTCGCTACGGCATTTGACATTGTGATAAAAATATAGTTGATTCAGCAAAGAGTAACCGTTCCGCCGCCACATGCCCGCGTGCACCTGCGAAATCATGGCCTGTGCCGTCAGTACAGGATCAATGATCTGTTCAGGAGTCGGTTTCATTGAGTTGTTAAATTCAGACGAATGAAAGTGTAAATTGTATTTTTCCAGATGCAAGAACAGACCGGCGAGGAATCTTGAGAGCGGTAGATGGATAGAAACTGGTTCGGATGCCACATCGTATTGCAGACACGTTGCGCTATGATTCGCTAACTCTCGCACCTGGCTTGGCGATTGCTCATTTGCCTGCTGTTCATGTAATTTTTTCAGAAGAGATCCGAAGGATTTGATCAGTACAACTCGGTCCGAACTGCACCACTCCAAGGCCAATGTAATGACTGGTGACAGTTTTATGTGCAGATTGAACGCCGATTCCCATTCAGGCTCGTATTCCATATGCTGTCCTTCTTGTCGACGTACCGCGTCCATGCATTGCATGTTGGAAAAGAGATTGAATAGTAGCGAGAGACCTTGCAAGAAGCCACGTCTCAGATCATCCGTCCATTCTTCTGGTTTTGCGCTCAGCAGATATCGAAGGTCATAAAGTATGAACTGCGCCCGCTTGAAGTTATGGTGTGGCATATTCCTCTCAAACTCAAATTTTCCAGCAGCGTTACATCGTCGGGAGCTCTCGGACATAAACGTGGTTAACAAGTTGAACAGAGCCTCGTGCTTTGCGATGAGCAAATGTGCCAGGGTCGGTACGGTGAACAACTGAACAGAGAGCGAAACGATCGAAAATGAATGATCGTGATCGTCCTTAATGAAATCCTTCATAACAGATCCGTAATTATTAGTAAATACAATAGAAAGCGCTTTTTTACTCTCATATTCCATGAGCATTCCGTATATAAATAATCTATGCCATGCTGTTCTGGCGGATTTCCACAGTTGCGAATCTCTCGTGAGTATGCCCTGAACAACTGACTGATCGGGCAGTTTCGTGTTCAGAGCGATGTTGCTAAACAGAACACGAAAACCCTCACAATGACTTATGAATTGTTGCAACCATTTGAGCAGTCTTATAGCAAACGTCTGATGGGCGACTACGTGACTATGGAGAACAAGTACCTTGAGTGGTCGATTGCTATGCCTATACGTGAATTTCTCTACCTCACCTTTCAAGTCAGTGCATGGTTTAAATCCTGAGCATTTTATCACGGTTCTACCTTCTCTGTCAACACCAGTCACATATTCAATAGCTTCTTTCTGCGAACATTTGAGAACGCGCATGAGCATGTTTATCACCTGATCAAAGGTATGATGCTCATCATTGAAAAGCACAGTGCAGTAAGTATCGAAAATATCCAATTGGTCGAACGCATACGGATAAGATGCTGATGCTGTATCTTTAATGCTGAGACTCGGCGGTAATGATACAATGAACCTCAGAGTCAGCAGTTCGTAACAATAATCCAATAATGCTTCGAAAGTCACTACTGCTCTCTCCGCAATATCACCAGGCAGCTTATTACCACGAGACTCCTTCGTCAGGGTTCCTACAACATGCGTCTCACAGAATGGCTCATTTTTCCAGGCTTCTGTGTCACCGCAGTCACAGCATCCGCCTCCATTGGACGTGCCCATTTTGTACTTATGGTTTCGATGAGCTGACTGCTTGAAACAGTCGACGCACAGAACGCACGTAGAGTCCATACCGCACTCCCTGCAACTGTAGGTTGGTTCACCCATCTTGAACATTCTGCCACATATAGTTGGTGGATTATCCATTTTAGCAAGCTCCTTGAGAATCACCTGTGGATCACCACCACAGATAAATTCCTCCAGAGGTCTCAGAAGCATTCTGTTTGCTGTGTCTTCGTCAATAACCCATTCCAGACAGTTGCCGTTAAGCTCTGGAGTGTATATTTTTGGCACCCAAAGTCTCCAGTATTCTCTAAAGTTAATATTTGTTAATACTCCCTTATTCATCTTCTCTGTCCATACATCTACACATCGTTTGCTTGTATCTGGGAATACAGGTCGTAACGAAGCAAGATTTATCTCTTCAAGGACCAGAGGTAGATGCTGGTTTTCTTCTGTACTTTCACCACTCATTTTGTCTCACTTAAATTTGCCGCGTAATGTATACTGAAACAGTAAACACAAAAAAAAACAATAATTCATAAAGAAAATTATCTGTCAGAGGAAAAAGATAAATATACATACATAAGTACTAACCAACAGGACATACACAATACAAATTATTGATATAATCCAAGCACATTTTAAAGTGTCTTTACATGGCTAATTCGATCAATTCTTTATCACGACAATACATGGCTACAATTTCAGTAGCCTTGAGTCTTTCATCAGAGGTTCAGATAAGTACTCTTGTGGAAAATTCCTATTGCACATACATCACCATCTTCAGCAGCTCACGAAATCTGAAATCACAGCCATTTATTGTGAGCCACTCACGTGCCAAACGACGTTTAAATATGGTGTCTGCACTTTTAAATATTGCCAGAATATTCGTCGCGAATTTAACGTTTCTCTATATAACTACATATATACATATATATATATATATATAGCATACACACACACATACACATAAAGGAAACGCGAGATCCAGAGCCAAAAGCGCGATGACACGGATCGTAACGCATATTACTGTACTGCGTTGCAAGCATCTCGTGTGTGTGTGTGTGTGTGTGTGGGGGGGGGGTGCGTGCGCGCGCGCGTGTGTATATGTGTATGAGCGATATATCTCGCGGATTAGTCAACGTTCAACAAAGCGAGGGCAGAGTTCTCCTTTTTTTGAAATATCAAGCGAAAAATTTTTTGAAGCGGTTATTTTCGTCGATGGGATACTCACCGTTGTTGACGAGCGGGTCAAGGTTAATAAAAGGCGTTCAGATCGCGGACTCTTTGTTCCCCCCGCGAACGATCAGTTTCACACTACCACTCGCGATGACAACGATGACAACGATGTTTCGCGAGTCTACGTTCACGTCGTCTCGATGTGGCCAGACTTCGTCGTCCGATTGTCAACCTCACAAAATCGCACTCTATGCAATACGCGTGGCCGCGAACGTTGACATTTCGTAGCGAATTGAAACGAACGATTATCCTGCGCACAGCTGCTCGGACGGTGATGCTTCAAAATGGCTCGTGACAGTTCTTAATTTTCCTGGGTTTTTAGGAAATTTCGAAAAATTATTTAGATTCAAGTTGGCTGCCCTTTTCGCAAAAAAAAAATATAGGTAACTGAAATGACAATCTTTACAAATTCCCTAGAAACAGGATAGAAAACCTAACACCCGTATAGCAGTTGTCTTGCTGTGGTTCTGTGTCTTGTCTCTTGTCCCGTCCACCGTCGACGACGTTGTCTAACGTTGTCCGAATATCGTCGTAGTGGAACTTTCGAGATTCCTAATATGGCCAGTGAAAAAAAACCGGCGAAGGCGCCGTCAAAAAGAGAGAAAACTGCCGAGGAAATACTGACGGAGTTCCAGTCGCTCCGAAATGAGCAGAGAATGCTGGCAAATAAACTGTCCGAGATGGAGATGGAATTGAACGAGCACAAGTATGAATCCACCTAACCTACACGCTTGCCTTTTTCCTTTTTGATAATCGAAAACGCTTCTGCGAACGCGACGAGAGCTTACGTTTTTTAATTTGGCGAAATTCAGTCGACAATGAGAGACGAGGGTCGGCTAATATAAAAACACGTGACTCGTTGCCATCCCACTAATACAACTGATGTTTTAGAATTGTTATCGACACGTTAAAGAATGTGGATCCCAAGAGGAAGTGCTTCAGGATGATCGGCGGGCTTCTATGCGAGCGTACGGTAGAAGAGGTGATGCCTGCTCTGGTAACGAACAAAGAACAGGTGTGACTTGTGCCAACATTATTGTCTCCTCTTGGACCAAAACGTTGAACATGTGATAATATTTAAATGTGTTTTCAGTTGATGAAAGTGATAGACGCTTTAAACGACCAGGTGACAAAAAAAGGAATCGAGATAAACGAGTACAAGGAAAAACACAACATCAGAATCAGAGGGCAGGATGATTTGCAGCAACAAGAAGAGGACAACAATAATAAAGAAGACAAGAGAAAGGCGATTGTTGTGAATCCCATTGAGATTTAAGTGCACTAAATATAGGTTCTTTTTAATATTACATATTAAGGCATATTGAGATGTGCGTGAATTCTAGTTTGGATAAGTACTTGACTTTTGAGTTCATTTTTAAATTAGCTACCATATTTATTTATTATACCGTCTTGTATATGCCACATCACTTTGTGATGTCATATCGCTAGACGTTTGTTACACAAGTGTATTCGACCAAAAAAGAATATTTTAAATTCTTGTAAAAATTAGGTTTGTACAATTCTGCAATTAGGCCTCTCGACTACTTGTATCTTTGCATCAAAAGTCAAATAATAATGTAACATTCATACATTTGTCCAGTAATTAATTTAAAATGTTCATTTTTTCACATATTTTTTAAATCATATGCTTGCATATCTTTTTGGTTGACTATGTATATAAGCACATACAGATAAATCGAAAAAACGACGAGAACAGTTTCGGAAAAAAAAAAACAACCGAGAAAGCAATGACGCATTGAAAAATTTTCGATGGAAAATTCATCCATCGAACATGAACGATACGAGACTATCGTAAGTTGAAACCGCCATATTAATTCTCGCGAGATCGTTCAATCGCGCGGAACATTGCATAGGGAATTGTGCAGGAGACTTGCCAGTTGCGCGCGCGAGAGGGAGGGATTTTGTTGCGATCGCACAGTGTACGCAAGTACTGGCACGCTAGCTACCCGCAGGCGACAGGGAAAGGGAATCCGATAAGACCAGATAACACGCGAATTTATTTTTCCAATCCGGGGACGACGCTCCAGGATTTGTCCGCACACTCCGCGCCAGAAGGGCGAGCGATTGCGGAATCCTGGCGCGATGTGGCCCGCACTACGTCGTGTTTCACGCTAATCTAAGGTTTCGTCATTATCTCCTGACCTGTCCCTCCTAACAACCCTCGTCGACCGGCAGGCTCGCACGAGCAGCACGAGCCTGTTCGTGCGTATGCATTAAGTGCATGTCCATTGGCGTATAATTCTGCGAATCCTGGTGGACGGTGTTCGTCAAGAGTTTGTGATGGCGTTGTTAAAGGTTAGTGGACATTGAATAAACAAATTCCTGTGAAGAGGCACCGACCTCGAGGGCTTTATCCATGCGATGGTCGACGTTTATCTTACTACGGATTGTCGCGATAACCGGGGGCGCGTCCCAACTGTACGAAACTACGAATATCGCGATTCGAAAGATTTCTTTTTTATTTATCGCAATGACGATTCAGCTTAGGTTGTATTCAGATTTCCACCTATGTGTTATCCAGATACTATTTTATTCTTGTTGTTTACTGAATATTAAACAAGGATAATATGATATCTAGAGAATACATGGGAATCTGAACGCATCTTACGTTTCAACGATTAATCGGATTAATCGAATTCACGCTGGATATCAAGCATTATTCCTATGACTTTGTGTTTTCTGCTCCTTTCCCATATCTTAATCACTTATTTGATATGCGGTATTAATATTTAGGATAAGACACAATTTACATTCGAGGACAAATGGCCGTACATGCGTCCAATTATATTGAAACTGCTCAAGCAAGAGCCAGTGACGCAAGGCGAATGGCAGGATTTGTTCTATTCCGTTCATGTATGCCTCTGGGATGACAAAGGGCCTCCCAAGTTACGTGATGCTCTGCAGGAGGATATAATGGACTTTATAAAACAAGCTCAACTGGTAAGAGAAAGGGAGTTTATTTATAGATTAAGATCAAGACTGTACCTTCAATATCTTTTTTATATATTTTAATAAAATAAACGAATATTATACAAGGTTGTAAATTTTTGTACAGAGAGTTTTAGCGCATCAAGAAGAACAAGCATTATTGAAAGCGTACATCGCCGAATGGAGAAAGTTTTTTACTCAATGTAATTATTTACCAACACCATTTAGGCAACTAGAAACGTATCTCGCAGGAAAAACTAGTTCTTCCAGTGCGCAGAAGAAAATTCAGCCCGACGACATTGTTAGAAAGGTAAAAGACTTAAATACACTTGATACATGATATAATTAATATTTTGTAATAATTGTAATATTGTATGATCTTATTCCTCTCTATTATATAGCTAATGTTGGACAGTTGGAACCAAAGTATATTCAATGAAATAAAACAAAAACTCCAAGATGCAGCCATGAGATTAGTACGAGCTGAAAGAAATGGCGAGGCATTTGATTCTCAACTCGTTATCGGTGTCAGAGAATCTTATGGTAATAAATGAAACATTCATAAATTTATATATAGCAATTTTTTTTTTATTAATAATGGTATAATGCTTTAGTGAATTTGTGTTCAAATCCAACGGACAAACTCCAGATATATAGAGAAAATTTTGAAGCGGCGTATATACAAGCCACTGAAGCATTTTACTGGATAAAAGCTCCAGAATATCTGTCTGTGCATGGTGTCGAGAATTATATGCGTTACGCCGATTTGAAGTTAAGGGAAGAGGAGGCACGCGCTCAGAAATATTTGGAACCAAATTCTGCGAGTATGCAACGATTAACGGATTGTTGCGTGAAAGTGTTAGTTGCAACTTTCAAACCAGCGATACTCGCTGAATGTCCACGAATGATTCAACATAATCAAACTGATAGTAAGTAATGAAAATTCATAATGTAATTTTTTTATGTCTTAGTTTATGATTAATTTTACAATGCTGCTTCTATGATCGGTGCTTATTAACATGAATAAATAATTGTAGAACTTCGCCTCATGCTGAAATTAATGGATAGAGTACCCGACGGTGTCAATCCTATGTTGAGAAATCTGGAAGAACATATTGCGAGCGCAGGTCTAGCGGATATGATGGCAGCTGTAGACGTTATCACTCAAGATTCAGAAAAATACGTGGAAAGACTGTTAGATCTTTTCCATAGATTTTCCACACTCGTTAAAGAAGCATTCGATGATGATCCACGGTTTCTTACAGCACGAGATAAAGCTTATAAACTCGTTGTGAATGACGCCACGGTATTTAAGTTAGATTTGTCTACTCGGCAGGGCTCTGGAATCTGTTGCGCATCCATTTTAAATAGTAGACCTATTACTAATAATAATGGACTAGCCGAATCGAAGTGTCCAGAACTCTTAGCAAATTTCTGTGATATGCTTCTTAGAAAAACACCACTCAGTAAAAAACTAACTACTGATGAAATTGAAAATAAATTGAAGGATGTGGTCAGTATACACAATAAGATAACTACATCTATAGAAGTTAGAAATCAAATGTTTTCTGAGAAATTTATTCTTGCATTTTTTATTTTAGTTGTTAGTGCTAAAATATGTTCAAAATAAGGACGTATTTATGCGTTATCATAAGGCGCATTTAACTAGACGGTTAATATTAGATACGACAACGGATTCGGAAAAAGAAGAAAATATGGTAGATATGCTTCGTGAAGTTGGCATGCCCGCGGATTTTGTTAATAAATTAGCCCGTATGTTCCAAGATATTAAAGTATCTCAGGATCTGAATCAGCAATTTAAGGAACAATGTCGAGCTGCTATTGCAGATAGCATAAATATTAAGGTAACATACTGTTTCTTGATAAATGTGCGTGTTTTCATTTAAGATTAGTATAACAAAAAAATAGAAAAGATGTTAGAGGTATAAAGAAAATCTGCTATATTTTTTGTAGATTCTTAATGCAGGTGCGTGGGCCAGAGGTAGCGAACGCGTCACCGTAAGTTTGCCACTACAACTGGAAGACTATATTCCGGAAGTCGAAGAGTTTTATAAAAAAAAGCATAGCGGAAGGAAATTGCAATGGCATCATCATATGTCGAATGGCACGGTACTTTACATATTAATAATTCTATCCGTATTCATTACTCCACAAATCTAAAACATGTTAATCTCAATGCATATTTCATGACGTGAATGTTTCAGATAACATTTGCAAATAAGGTGGGGCGATTTGATATAGATGTGACGACCTTCCAAATGGCAGTATTGTTTGCCTGGAATCAACGACCCAACGAAAAGATCTCTTACGAGAACCTCCGGTTGGCTACTGAGCTTCCGGATCCCGAGCTGAGACGGACTCTGTGGTCTTTGTGTGCCTTCCCGAAGTTAAAACGGCAACTTCTTTTGGTGGAACCGCATGCCGCTACCCCGAAAGATTTTGCGAACGATACGAGATTTTGGGTTAATCAAGAATTTGCTATTGTGTTAGTATTTATTTTTATATTAATAAGAAATATGATATATTTCAAATTATAAATATGAATACGTATGTTTAATTGATTTGGTTTGATCTCGTTTGTTTTTCTAAGTTTAATATTCATAAGTTATAACACGCATTTTAATTCTGAAAATAACTATATTAACTATTTTAATTAATTGCGATGTTTTTTCGTTAGAAAAAATGGCAAGATGCAAAAGCGAGGAAAAATCAATTTAATAGGACGTCTTCAATTATCAACAGAACGTAGCAGAGAAGAGGATAATCATTGCATTGTACAACTCAGAATATTACGGGTTCAGGTATAAACTTTTAATTTTAATAAAATAAAGTAGTTAAATAAAATATGATTGATGTTTATTCAATTTGATTGATGATTATGAATAATTCTTATCTTTTGTGTGATTATAGGAAGCTATCATTACGATTTTAAAGATGCGCAAGATGATCACTAATGCACAATTACAGACTCAACTAGTGGATATATTGAAAAATATGTTCTTGCCGAGTAAAAAGATGATAAAGGAACAGATCGAATGGCTTATTGAACAAAAATATATTAAGAGACACGAGGATGACATTAATACGTTTGTGTACATGGCATAACACGGGATTATATATACATGCGAGATTATTCTATGGCTAATATTATATTTTTATAAAAAAAAAAGGATTTAGTTTTCTCGTATGTGAGAATACGTTCGAGTCCGTCGCATTACGCGATTATGTTTCACCTGTTTTCTTACAGTGCAGTGGAAAGAAAGAAAGGACGATATACTATTGCATTAAAATTTGAAATACGAAGTATCGATAGGACAAGTTGCAATCACCTCCACCCGACAATTGCCGACTTATTATACGTGTGAATAAAGTGAATTGTATAGAAAAACTGGAAAAATGTCGCAATAATAATAAGAAAGATGTACAATATCGTATCATGATGAAACTAGCATTTATCGTTTATTTTGGCATTGATTTATATTAATTTAAATAGAGAAGAAAAAGTGGGTTAAATTAAAAGGAGAATTATATATGTATATACATACACATCGATGGCATATTACTACAACTTTAATCGTTTATACTTCGCTAAAAAGATATTCCTGAAATGTTTTTATATTTCTTTTCTCGAATCTACTTGTATGAATATACAAGCAGAATGTAAACTAAATTTGTCAACTTAAATCTGTTGTACATTATTGACACGCTGCAACAATTTGGCACTAAAAATATCGATAAATCCTTGCACAAATCTGAACGACAGTGCACGTATAT